TCAATATAGCAATGGTTCTCACAAAAAAAAATATAAATATTTGTCCTTGTGAATTTTAAAACATGATTATTCACAAAAAAATCCAATAATTGTATGAAAAACTCAATAAGGGTGAATTAGACAGAGAGTAAATTTAAATTGTTAAGAATGAGACGAATTTTGATAAAATGTTAGTCATTTGGACGAGATTTTGCGTACCTCGTAACATTGGACAAAACAGTCTTGCTCAGTAACAAATGACAATATTTGAGTCTATTAGGAGTAAATATGTGCATTTTTGTATAGATATGTATCTACATATATACATATACAATAAGTACATAATTATCAATAGTGATATGTCGCTGTAATGACCAAGAAGAGCATAAAATGTTATATCCATTCGTCATATAACTGTCTATATAACACAAACATTAGAAAAATAAATAATGTTGAAGTATTGCTCAAATCAGTAAAATAAAAAATAGTTTTTGTAGGTTTCTTTTGCTTTCTTAATATATCACTATATACCATTTAATAAAGTTGTTAATGGAACTTCTAATAATTTTATTGATATATGTATATAATACATTTTTTTCTTTCTTTGCCAATTTGAATTTTATTATATTTTATTTCTGTAATCAACCTCATTTACGATACTCTATAAGTCATTTTTTACTCTACAACTTCTCTACGTTCAAAATTGATAAGTTAATATATCCATATTCATCAACATAAAAATTTATAATATACTTCGCATTACTCCCCTCAAAACTTTCTTATTAGCATATCAAGCTCCCTTTTACACTTTAAGTAAAATTATTTTTGACGGCTTCAGTCTTGCTTAAATTTGTTTTTGCTTCACATTGCATACTTCTAGGCAAGGCAACCTTATTTAATTGAGTTTTCCGCACTAAAAGGTTATTGAAAAATATTCAAAATATTTCCTTATAAGTGAAAGAAAGTAAAATTTCTGCAATTTTCTCCATTTCTGCTACTTTAAGCATAAATCAAAAATTTAATTAAATGAAATTATCTGCAAAAAGAAAGTAGAAATTGATTTGCCCGAGTAGATGAAAGAAATTCCTTTTTCCTTGAAATGAATTGGAAAAATTATACAAATTGAGACAGAATGTTTGCCTATGACATTTGATGAGGAAAATTTAAGTTAAAATAATAATAAATTCTTTTTGGGGAATGGCAGTTTTTAATAATATTATTTTGAAATAAACGAGTTAATTACAATTTTTAATTAAATGAAACTATTTCTTATTATTTTTAAATTAATTTAAAGCTTTATTTGCAATTTATCTCTCTAAATTAAACGATTTTTATTTTGAGAGAAATTCTATTAAATAACAAACAATAAGTAATAAATAATATTCTTTTTATAATAGTTCATATTTAATTTAAACATGATTTTTTTTAAATTTTCACTAAAATATTTATGCTATTCGTTCTACTTTTATTTTGTTATGAAATTTTTACAATTTTCTTTATATAAAATAGTTATTCTACAAGATGTTAAAGTATTATTAATGGGTTTTATGCAGCTTTCACAGAAACGCACAGTCTAACAGCGCTCTGTTAGATAACCTAGCCAACAGTAGGTTGGGAGGCGCATTGTTTATCAAGAGAACCCACTTGAGCACGAAATAATGGCCCGTTGTGGTACCATTAAAGATTGAAAATAATAACTGACGAAATTCCAAAAATACTCAATTCACACTTAAATAATATCATTAAAATAACCAGCCTACTGTGTATTACACGGTGTACTTACAGACTGTGTCCACGTAACTCAATGAGAATATAATTTTGAACATATTAAATATAAATTATTTACCTACATTTTCATTAATTTGAATAATTTAATTTGATTAATTAAAACGCAAAATAACATACATAAATCTATGATAAAATAAAAAAATTACAATTCTCAGTATAGGTTTAATGAGAAAGAATTGTAAAGTTTTTAATCAATTTAGATGCCCTGTAACATGACTAATCTTTATCTATGTGCTCTTGTTCACTGAGCCTATGATGAACATTCATTATTACATTAAACTTATTCAGTACTTCTCACAGTAGAATGGTTTAAGAATTACGTACTAGTTTTGTAACACTAAAGATACAATATTTATTTTTTAATAATTCATTTTAAAAATATTAAAGTCTTTTATTCAATTTACTTTTAAAATGTTCAGTCATAATCAACAGCTTAGCTTAAAAATAGTGCTGTGTGTGCGGAAATTTATTATAAGTTAAAACAGCATAAACTCAATTTAAATTCATGTTTAATAATTTCATATTCCGCTACTTTGCATAATAAAACGTAATGCTGCCACCAGGAAGGAAATATACTTGTGCATTTCCACAACCGCACAAAGACGTTCAAATGTTCCATTGTGCACCGCCATGAGCCCGACCACAATTGCAGTTTCCTTTGTGTTTTTATTACCGTTTCCGCCTTCCACACCAATATTGCACTGTCATTCGATTTCCTTTCAAGTATTTCCAGTAAAGAACGGGAACGGGAACGCATATTAAAACAGCTGTGGTAAGGACCATTTCCTTGAAAATACGTAATGCAATGCTTTCTGTATATATTCGTACATTTATATATAAATATATATACAAATGTAGTACATTGTTACGAATGTAGCAATAAAAATAATCTCAAATAAAGGAATTTAATAAAAATTGTAATTGGAGTTGTTCTTTGTCGATGATAAATGCAGTGAAAATGAAAAGTGTATCTAACAGAGAAATATTTAAAATGTTTTAATTAATCATTGAAAACTTTTTATCAATTTATAGCTTGTTTTATTATTCACAAAGAATGGTGAAAGTGTAGATTTATTTTATTGATCCATTAGAGATACCTGACTTTTATAATTTTAATTTTAAACATACAGTTCACAGAAATCATAAGTATCTAAATGCTTTAACGACATTGGACCAAGTTGGGACTGGCCTATCGAAACTTATGGTGATGTTTACAGGAGCTCGAGAAAGAACTAATGGAACATCTGTTGTATCTGTGTTCTGATTTAAATGTAAAACCAACCTTATACCTCCATATTATTATTTTGTTTTCTATATTCTAAAACAGGTTTTTAAAAAGTAGAGAACTACAACAACATAAATTTATTTTATATTATTTTAATTAATTGACCATAAAGCTGTTTCGAGTATTGCCAAACACCCATCAACAGTGGTCTTGCAAATAATTCTTGTATTTAATTATTCGTAAATAATTTTTTGAGACTACAATTACCAGGAATCGAACTCGTACCCTGCCAAATTTGAAGCTCAGAGTCAGCGCATCATAACCAACTGACCCAACCAACTGAGCCGTACTTGACTTTTATATTCGCACATTTTTCTGAAGTTTTGTTACTTTGCTGTGAAAGTCGTTTATTAACAAATTCACTTGCTGTGTTTATATTAGAACGAAATCATAAACCAACTGTAGAATAATTGAATTAATTAATTATATTTTTTAATTTTTTTTTGTTAAATTTCAACACCATTCGGTTTGTAGTGTCATTATTTGTTGCATGATTTATATATTCTTTCTTATGTACAGGACCTAATCTAAAAACGTAATACTGAGAAAGTCATGCTAATGTTACTCCACAAGACGCACGGGCAACTCGATTATTTTATTTTTTATTTTCTCATTTTTAAAATCTATTATCTTTATTATTTGATATATTATTTATGATATTTATTTTAACAATTATTAATCTAATACATAGACATAATTCAATCCCTTAATTAAGGTTAACTCCTTTGAAGCACACTTTTTAATGTAAGCCTTAAAAATGAAATTTCATTTAACCCAATTTAATTTTTATTCCCATACATTTTCAACTGAAAATTAAATAATTTCAAAGTGCCTATTAACCCTTTTAAGTGGAATTTTTTTATGTCAGCAATTGTTTAACCCATAATGCAACTTTGTGTACACTTGTGTACTCTCATGTGTTGCTACTTATGCCATCAGGCGCGCCATTAACATTATCGTTTCGTAGTCCATGCGCACACACATATGCAAACACATTTGATGGCCGAATGGTAAGAGTGTGCAAATATCCCCTATATTGACACAAATTTCAACATTTCAGCTTATA